CCCTGATTATTTGTTGGTTTAATTTCATATTATTTACCTTATGACATCCAGGGGGAAAAATATGGGGCAGTAAATTGTACAATCCAGTTTGTGTCTTTATTATTGAGATAATAAATATGTCTGCCGATCATCTTGCACACAGAAAAATTAAAAAGTTTGCAGTGCAGCTATTAGTCATCAACCCGCTTGAAGCTTGTTTTCAACAGTTTCACTTTGTAGCCATTTTTGTTTTCATCTACGGATGTGTTATTTTACCTTGAGTGTTTTTTTTTTTTTTTGAGTAAAGGTGGTAGTTTATTTAACTGATGAAAGAATGCGGGCATGTATGTTGAGAAGCGTGAAATTAGTTTTATTGTCGGTGTTCATAATTTTCAGATGTTTCATGGCCAGTCCTGATGATCTGATTATCTACACAGATCGTTCTGCATTGAGAGGGAAGAGAAGTGCCTAGGGTTTCGTAGCGAAAGCCAGTGGAAAATCTTTAGTGCAGGACCGCCTGATATATTATACCACAACATCTGGCATGAAAATGGAGGTGGAGGTGGTCACTGCAGCTTGAAGATGTCATAGCGAGAATGATGCACCTGGGTGTGACCAAAGGGGTTCGGGCGGCACACTACGCTCAGAGGAAAGGCAAGATGGACGTACAATCAGACTGCGACAGACACTAGTAGTATTGGAACTCTGTGCTGGCTGCTGAAGATGGGGATGGAGCGCATATGGGATTGCCCTTAGTGCTGTGATGTCAGTTCTTGACTCAACTCAACTTATGGCAAGTTCTGGGCATTGTGTACCACCAAAAAAAGAAAAAAAATCAGTGTTTATTCTAAAAGTCTCTTTATGACTAATCTATGTGCGCTTTCTGAGAGTTTCTTCTCTTCTTCTGCCCTTGATCTATAAGTGGAGCATAGGCCTTCAACTGATGCCAGGTTATCTCATCCTTTACTATTACCTGCAGCTTACCTTTTTTTTAAAAAATATATCTAGCCTGTCTCTCCCTGGTGAAACTAGGGGCATCAGTGATCCGAACTGCTTTTGACTTTTTTCTGAGAGTTTACACACTATAGATGTCACCGTCTGTGGACTAGGTATCATAATTCCAGGATGCCAGATTCAATCCTAACTGCTGGGGTTTTGGCAGCAGACTTCCTTGTGTTGTTTTAACGCTGGTATGAGATCCGGCTGTTTAGAAAGCAGTGAAAAACTGGGGAATGTAAAAATTGCCTAGTGAAATCATAAACACCTAAAATATGCTAGGGTTGCTTCTGCAACCTCCTGTAAAGGATACAACACAGTTTTGTTTGTTTGTGGTTTTACACACTATAAAAAATAAATACTATTAAAAAGTCACTCATTTCTACAGGGCTTGAGTTCAGGATTCATCCCTGTATCATACTGTATGGAAATTGAACTCATTTTATAGCACAGTGTGTGAAAAGCTAGGAAGAACAGTATTTTCAAACACATTAGTTTCATCAAATTTGAGAATTTTCTTGACTGATTTGATTTTCTTTCAACTTATTTCCATTTAAAAGTGGTTTTTATGAAATACTACTTTGCTACTTTTTAAAACCCATATTCGTATCTTGCACATTCAAATGAGAAATCCTTCACTCCCATCATCATATCTACAATCTTTCGCAGCTATATACAGGAATATCACACCCATATCTTTCTCTCCCATTTTCATTTCTTTCAAGAATAATGGGTTTCCTGTCTATATATAAAACTAGACAATGTGTGGACTGTGTTTTTATGATTTGTAAATGAAGAAACCCCTCTTGATTTATGTTAATTTTATTTCTTTGCCACAATTATGGTTAGTGTGTTATTTATGAAAATGGTGATTTCTGTTAATTTTCAAACATTTTCAGATGCCAAACGATTTATGTTTTTGAAAAGTAACAGTTAATTTGAGGTTGTTAATATCATCATATTTGTTTGTTTGTTTCTACAACGGATCAACATCATGGAAGAAGGGTGATAACCCATAAGTGCTTTGTTCTTCTTCTAACTCAAACCTAAATCCGAAGAATCTCAGCGCAGTGCACAAACTCCTTAGTTTGCGAGGATCCTGAAATACTTTGGGTAGATTTTTAACTCCAAATTTTGCCAGGGCAGTGTCGCTAGGGCAATTTTTTTTTCAATTTCCAACTGCCAAGGGATTTTTTTTTACATTTTTACATGTGCCACAGTACACACGGGCATCTGTTCTTACTACCTAGTGACCAGGGGAAATTACTAAAAATCCACATGAAAAATTCAGGGCCTTCACCGCATTGAACTCGGTACCTCCAGCACTCAACGCGGACGCCATGCCTCGAGACCACTCAGCCCTCCCCCCCCATATATTTATGACCCATATGGTCATAAACATTGTCCTCAGATGGACCATGTGTGGGTCAAAAACGTGTTTTTTTCTTTTCCTGTTTGCACCCTTGCCTTGTTGGCACCATTCTGTGTTTCCAGACAATAGTGTTCCACTGTCCTGTAGGGAGGAATGGGAGTCACAACCCTTAGAGATACCAGTTATGACCAGGATGGAATTTCTTCACTGCCCAGCATTATAGCCTATGCAGCGGGATTCCTCTAATGGTTTGCCTTGTTCACTACAAAGGAAAGGTAACACCAATATTTTTGCACAAAAAAAAAAACATGCTGCTGAAGCTAATGGATAAGAAAAGCAGTGATCTTTCTGAAACACCCCGTTTTATATCTGGTTTAAGGGTTACAATCATGGTTTAATTAAGTTGTACCTGGTTTGATTCCAGCTGTGGGCAATATGGTGACACATCACTTTTTATTGATTTTGACAATGGTAGCAATAGCTGACCATCCAGAAAGCAATGGCAAACTACTGAATGTCTGGAAAAACTACAGATAGCCAACAAAGGCAGAGGCTGGTTTGCAATGTCCTCTGAAAGATGTGCACCTGAAGTTTTTATGTGCATGTCTTTTTGCCTTTATTTTCAGTTGTCTACCAGTTGAGTTGACTTTTGAGGTGAAGGAAAGTTGAATCATATATTCAATTTCAATTTTTACCTGTACACGGTTTTTATAATCAAATCTCTTTTGCTTCTTAGCATTCAACGACTGTAAACTGCGGCGGAAAGTTCTAGTTGTTCATCCACTCCTGGACTTTGGTCTTTATCCAGACCTTTTTGCTTCAACATCCATTTTATGCATCTGGTTTATTTATATGCATGTATGCAGACTGTTGGTTCCTTACCTCTCAGGCAGATGCACGCCGACTTCGACCCCCCAGTTAGTCGACTGTTGTGACATGCTTGTTAGGGAGGCAGAGGGTCTATTTTTGTTTTTCCCACCATGGGGCCCTGGAATGCACAGAGGGATTATATTATACTCACCTGTCTTATCGAATGCAAGCCACTCTACATGTAGGTCTCTATGGTAGCGAGTGAAATGCCTTGAACTGTCAGATAAAGGCAGCATAATGGAAGTCAACCAGACATTGGTAATTTTCATGACCCCCCGACAGTCATGGGGAAAGAATAGTTCGCTCCTGAGGAGAATCAGTTTCAGCCACTTTAAAAGACTTAACACATTAGTGTTTCTGTCAAAGTGTAGCACAATTAAGTAAAGGTCCCTTTTCACGCCTTTAGGCACATCGGGCATGAGTAAAGAGCACCCATATTTTTACAGACCAGTCGGCACTAGGTGGGTAATTTGGTCAGCATTATCTAAGCGTTTACTTTCTCAGGACATACATCCTGGTATCCATTTTAGGCTGGGTTGACCTGCGACGCCCCATACCACAATAAAAATCCACGCAGCCAGCAGTGGGTTTTGATCACAGTTCATTGGAATTACGAGTCGGACTCGCAACGCCTAAGCCACGGATGCCACTCTGTCAAAGTGTAAGAAATAACAGTAATCATAATCCATTAGCAGGCCCCTTATTGAACACTGCTCTCTTTTCATCACACCTGAAAATTTCTCTTTCTCTAGCCAATTCTTCAGCCCTATATGCCTTCACAGCCAGTAAATCTTCAGCGTCTTGTATCCTTATTTGCAAAGTTGGCCCCTGACTCGTTTAATACTTATAATAGTTTTATAATAATAATAGTGATATAAAAATAATAGTGATGTAATAATAGTAATGTAATAATAGTAATATAATAAAAGTGAAAAAATAATGATAATAGTAATATAATAATGATAGTGTTATAATAATAATAGTCATATAATAATAGTAATATAATAATAGTGATTTAATAATAGTAATATAATGATAATACAAAATCCTGGTGTCCAAATTGTTTCTTCTTGTGGTACCCATTGATAAAGATTTTGGTCCAAGGGTTAAATATTTTTGTGTGAGCTTCTATTCCCCCCACCCCCTCGCCCCCTTTTTTCCATCCTCACTCTTTTTTCCCCTCCATTGAACTACCTTTTTTTTTTAAGTCAAAGTGAAAATATAAGAAATAGTGTTTAAAATCTGTTAAAACTTTCAACCGCTGAGAGAAAATGCAGAAATCAAAAAAGTGTTTGTAAACTTGGGCTGTGTTAATCATTATTTGTTGTTCTAGATAAATCACGTGCCTACCGAAAGAAGGTTGGCTACAGTGACTTTCTAGCACTCTCTGTTTCTAATGGAAGTTGCCGTGGTGGAGCAGCTAGATGCTCGCCACGGATTGGAAGGTCGTGGGTTCGCTCCCTGGCAGAGCCGGACTGTAAAAAAAAAATGACTTTGGCTCCTAGGTTGACCCAGCCTTGATTGGGTACCAGGGTGCAGTCCCAGGAAGTAAAGACGGCTGACATGATGCTGACCACATCACCTATATTGTGCTCTTTGGTCTATAAAATATAGGTCTAGCCCTATACACTTAAAGGTGTTGAAAAGGGTCCTTAACTTAATTTTTGAAAATATAAGATAAAAATGCTGTTATCAACCTCCTACTCTCCTATTTCAACTCTTTCTCCCCTGAATGATTTTTTGTATTATGTCTTTTAATTTGGCCTTAATTGATTGTCTTCAGGGGCGAACGATTCTTTCCCACGATTGTGTTTTCTGGTGTGGAGACTTCAACTACCGTGTGGATCTCTCCAATGAAGAGGTAAAAAGCTTGGTTGCCAGTGAAAATTGGAGCGCTCTGCAAGAGATGGACCAGCTGAATCTCCATAGAGCACAGAACAATGTAAGCATGATTTTCTCATTTTTTAAAAAATTATGTCTTTCTGTTTTAAGAAATGCACAGTGATTCTTCAGCTGTTATCTGTGTATCAAACATCAGATGGTGTGTAATTATATCTTCTCTATTTGGCCTGAGCATACAAAAGAAATCTGGCTGGCCATTTTAAAATACAGAACTTTACATGCTGATATATTGATTGTATTTAGTTGTGTTATTATTCCATTTGTAAATCTTCTAGGAAATTTTCTAGGACTGAAAGTGTTGAGTAGCAGAGTTATTTAACTTGCATAGTTAAAATAAACACAGATTAAGCCAAAATGTGTCTGGACATTTTTTGAGCTTGGATTTCCTTTCCTTCCTTCGCATTCACCGGCTGTAAACTCCGGAGGAAAGTTCTGGTTGTTTGTCCACCTCTGGACTTTAATCTTGTTCCAGAACCTGACTATTGCATGCACATCCATTTAACAGATCTGATTTAATTGTATTCAGATCGTTGATTCCTTACATCTCAGGCAGATGCACCCTGACTTTGAATGAAGTCTCCAATTAGTGGACTCTTACGATATGCTTGTTGGGGAGGCAGCGGGTCTGTTCTTATTTTCTCCATAATGGGGCCCCAAAACCCAAGCGGGGAAAGTTGGATTCAATTATGGTCACAAATTTTGTCTGATGCTCTCTAAGAGAGATATTATATTAGTACAAGCATTGGCATGTGACCAACAACTGTGCATGAAATGGCTGCATTGTCTCAGCAGTAACTCGCTACAGTAATATGTATCTGAACACTAATGCTAACCACTTTAGAAATGAAAGAGCAGATGAGTAGCAAAAGCTGGGAGTAAATTTCTACAACCTCATCCACCACACAGCTACAAGGTAACCCAAACCGTGCTAAAGCTGTCTTTCAAGCGGGAGTGGAGAAGGCAGAATGGAGATTACAGACCAGAGAGTGACAGCATAAACAAACTCAACAGGAAAGGACAAACGTCAGTTTTTAGACTTCGGACAGGACACTGGTCTTTGAGCACACCTGCACAGGATACGCATAAAAGAATCTGCTGCCTGCGATTGTGGAGCAGAAAGACACACGCCTGAGCACATACTGCAACACTGTCCTAACTTCTCCCAGCAAAGACTATGGATCTGGCCCAAGGGAGCCACATTGCAAGAGAAGCTGTGGGGGACCGGTGGTGACCTTAAACACACAATCCTGTTTGTGACCCAGATGGGACTCAGTGTTCAGCATGACTGATGTCGAACGCAGAAGAAGAAGAAGAAGAAGCTAAGCACTTTGATTAAGTGATCTAAAGCTAACGACCCCTTTCCACAACAATGGGGTACCAGGAATATGATGCTAGACATGTTTTTGAGTTAAGAGTTTGATTCTCTTCACAGCACTCCGGGTGCTCAGAATCTCCTCTCAACTGATTCATCAGCGTCTTCTTCTTCTTCTTCACTTCCTCTTTTACCGCTGTGGGTGTCGAGGGAGATATAAGGTTCTGTTTCTAGCTCTTCTGGCTGCCTCGACCATAGGCACATCGTGCTGTTGTAGAGTTTCTCTGATGTTATCCTTCCATATTGTTCTTGGTCTACCCCGTGCTCTACGTCCTTCTTCTCTTTCCATGTATGCTTTGTATGGTATGGTGTCACAAGGCATTCTCTCTAAGTGGGCAAACCATTTCACTTGCTGTCTTTGTATGTAATCCAGAATTGGTTCTGTGCCGACTTGTTCTCTTATGATCTCATTCCTGATCTTATCTCTTATGGTCACTCCTACAGCCCTTCTCAGACATCTCATTTCCGTGGTTACAAATTTTCTTTTATGGTTTGTTGTGAGTGACCATGTCTGGCACTGGTAGCACAGCGTTGGAATAAATATGCTTTGAATAAGATGTCTCTTTGTGCTGATTGGGATTGTCCTATGCTGTAAGAGGGGGGCTAGCTGTCCTAATACTTGGTTTGCTTTACTGCATCTAATGTCAATTTCCTTATCCAATTTCCCATCTTCGGTAAATGTCATCAGCGTCACATGGTTTATAGTGCCAGTCCTACGTTGGTTAACAAGACTTTGTGTGCGTCCCGTGTTTCTCATGCTTGGCCGTACCGATCTTTACTCCCAATTCTCATATTCTTAGAAGTGATGTGGGCACATTGCTTCCAAAATCCTCAGAACATCCTATCTCTCTAAGAGCAGTGACAATGTCTGCGTGATCCATGAGCCGGCCATCTTCAATTAATGCAGCACCTGCCAGTCTATTCTTTCATTACCAACCCCGCCTGCATGCCCTGGGACAAATATGAAGGTAACTGCAGGAGTCATGTTTTTATGGGCCATTTGTCACTCAGCTGTGATGCGGTCTATGTCAACATCGGCTGCTTTTACTTCCCAAGACCAATTTACCCATTTTAGATTGGGTCGACCTGTGAGCCATTATTCGTTTCACACATCCAGGTGGTGCAGATATGAAGCCAAGAGTTTCACTATGAGACATGTTTCTAGTCACTTCTTAGCAGAAAGTTCTGGTTGTTTGCTGGACTTTGATCTTGTTCCAGAACTTGTGTGTTGCATGCACATCCGTTTTACAGATCTGGCTTATATTCTTGGTTCCTTGTCTTTCAGACAAATGCATTTTGACCAATATTGAAATGCCTCTAATTGGTCAAATTTTACATCATTCTTATTAGGGATCCATTAGGTCTTTTCTCATCCTTACTACCCCCCCCCCCCCCCCCCCCCCTTCCCCATCCAAATGGAGTCCAGGATTCCATAAGGAGCCTGTAAATACACAGCACAGTAATTATTAAAGCTTTCATTATATTTTAAAAGGTCATAATTTGTTTCTGTAAACACCCAAACATTATTAAGTAAAAGCTCTGTGAATTCCATTACATTTGAATAGATCAAAATTTATTCCTCTTCACATATGTAATTTCAGGCATTTCAAGGCTTTAGTGAAGGCCCTCTGAACTTTGCCCCAACCTATAAGTACGACACATTCAGTGATGACTATGATACCAGTGATAAAGGTCGCACTCCTGCTTGGACAGACAGGGTGCTGTGGAAGGTGAAGGTTGTCAAGGATCCAGAAAGTAAGATGCTCAAACATTTTATAATTCTGTTTAATCCAATTGTTGTTCTTGTTTCTGTACCCTTTAGCCTCCAGTAGATTCATCATCATCATGTAGCAGGTCCTTTGCAGAACGTCACTCTCATCACAGTCTGCTTGAAAGAAACTCGGTCTCTCACCAGTTCTCCCCCCTCATGTATTTTCATACTCAAGGAGTCACTTATATCCTGTACCATCTTCGTGTCGGTTGGCCCCTGCCCCTCCTTCCTGGTACCATGCCTTCTGCTATAATTTTTTTCAATCCGTCGTGGCGCTTGATGTGACCAAAATATTTCAGCTTCCAAGACAGGATGCTGTTTATTAGCTAATCCTCCATGATGTTCAGATGTTTCAAGATGTCAATATTTCTCCTTTTCTTTGAACAAGATATTCTGAGAATCTTTCTATATTCTCTATTCTCTATTCTCTTTCTTAAGGACTGAGATAGTCCACGACTCACATCCCTATGTAGCCACAGGGAAGATGTATGCTCTCAAAATTCTAATTTTGATCTCCTTACTGGAGCTAAACCAAAGACTTTTAAAGGCTGTCCAATCTTTGCATTGCTATGGCCATCCTCCTTTGAATTTCTGTCAAACAGTCTCCATTGCTGTTTATTATAGAGCCTGGATATTCAAAGTTTGTGACATTTTCAATTTCTTCATCATTTTTTTTTTTTGGGTGACAGCCAGTTGTATCTGTGGACACTATTTTTATTTTCTTTAAATTCAAGAACAGATTTGGATCTTTACTGTGCTTTTGGACAAACAATATTACATTTTCTATTCTCTTTTTATGCTGTTTGAAAGATTCCAGTAGATTATAGACCCCTAATAAACTTGCACTGAATCGCAATATTCTTTGTCTTTATGTACAGCTCAACCCATGTTTCTGATTCTCTTCTCAAATGGTTTTTTGATCTTCCTTTATTATTATTAGGGGGGGGGGGGAGGGGGGGGTGGGGGGGGGGGGGGGGGGGGGGGGGGGGGGGGGGGGGGGGGGGGGGGGGGGGGGGGGGGGGGGGGGGGGGGGGGGGGGGGGGGGTCTCCGTGGTGAAGTGGTCAAGCTATTTGCCTCATGCTCTGAAGGTTGTGGGTTTATTTACAGAGATCCCTGGCGATTATCAATGGAGCTACGGGGTTCATGCCCTGTGCGGCTCTCTTGGCAGGCTGTTCTGCGGAGAGAAACTGAGCCAAATGGGATCAAATGTGGTGCAATGAAGTCGAAAACCTTGATTTTAACATTTAGTTTCAACGCTCTAGGCTGCTATCTGAAGGTTTACCATTGAGATTAAACAAGCCACTTCTGGACAGCAGACCAACACTGCAGATCCCAGATCAGCTTGCAAAGAAGTTATAATTAGGGGACCTGTAATAGCCACACTAGGCGGAAGTGGAAGGAAGGGACACAGGTTACAGTGACGAATGGAAGAAATTAAAACTGAAGATAGGAGAAAAGAAAAAGGCACATAAGTAATACATGGCAGTTAGGAACACAACTGAAGAAACTGTTGAATGTTGAATTAAGAATCAGCATCACAGTACTCGTGACACTCCCATAAGTGCTCTGTCTCCACCTTCAGCAGCAAGTGAAGAGGTAAAATTCTTATGGTACCAGTAACTTCTGATTGTATATCCATCCCGCCTTCCCCTGAGTGTCGAGTGTTGGCCAGATCCTCTTGTAACTCCTCGCAGTGCCATTCTCTTCAGACCCTAATGGTCTAAATGTTTCTCGGCACTGTTCACTCGCTCCCAAAGGGCCCTCACAACATCCAGCTTGTCATACTGCAGCACAGCTGTGTACTTTGCGTATGTTGATGTCACACCCAGGTTAGTCTTTAGTTTTCTACAGGAGGAGTCAATTGAAAAGGTACAGGAAAAAGATGGTTGTGACGATAGTTGTGATGATGATGATGTCTTGCTTGCTGCATGCTTCTCACGTCTCTGATGCTTCAAAATAAAATTTATGGAAAGAACTATTCTGTTTTATTCTGTTGTTACATACTCTTGAGGTTGCGTTGTGTTTTTTATCTCTAATTACTTTGCTAACTGGCTCTAGTGTTTGTAACTGCCACCTGGCTTCTAGTGCTGTCTGGTACTAATAGCTTGATCGTCGGCTCAACATCTCAATAGTGTTTCTACCTAATGTGTCTCTGTTAATCCATGGATCCATGTATCTTGTGTGTCATCTTTGTAGCTCGATGTCTTGTTTCATATCTCCTCTATAGTGTGTGTCTTTGAGGCTCAGTGTGACTGGTTTCTTTGCTTCTAATTCTCGACGACTAAAGGTTCTCTTTGAGGGTCCATGCTACTAGTCCTTACTCTTCTAAGTCTCATAGACTGAAGGATTTCTTTGTGGGTCCGTGTTACTAGTCCCTCCTCTTCTAAGTCTTGTGGACTGAAGGATTACCCAAGTGGTTTCTTTCAGTTATTTATACTGAGGTGCTAGAATGCGGGAAATGTTGTTTTGTACTCACTTTGACTGCTTCTAGAATATTCTTGTATTCTAAAACTTGTTTACTATGTGCTTTCTCACGGGGAATTTTCTAATTATGTCTCGATTGCATCAGATTGCATCATCTTGTTCTGCACCTAAACATAGTAATTAAATTGACAGCTGGCCTCTTGGAGACTTCCAGAAAGCCAGTACTACTGCGTTCATTTTTATAGGGCAAGTCAACAATGACATCTATACTATTTATATATTATTCATTTGCAGAATATTTCTCTGCTAAAAAAACCACAATAGTTTTAGAAAGGAATGTCAAGGTTACCAAAACTTGTTGATTATTCTAACTATGCGCAATATTCTAACTCCTGACTAACAAGTAGTGACGTCTCCCTGTTACAAAACATCAGTTCACCACCAAGTGGTGCAGAACCAGCCAGTAGCTGAAGAAACTGAGAAATATAAACAATATTTGAGCTGCAGTCAATACAGGTAAGAAGACATTTGGTTGAACTTTCCAGCTAAGTCTTTTGTGGGATGAGTTAATCAGTCTCACTTCGACCCTTCTTAGTTGTTTCTTATGACACCAGGCTATATAAAATCTGTGGAGGACTTGCATCACACCACAGCATTCATAGAGGCCTTTGGCGGTTTTGTCAGAAAACCATTGGCTGGGAGAATGTTAAGATTAAAGAAGAAGATGCAGAAGAAAGCTAATTTCCTGCAGAATAAAAAGTGTTTTTATTATATGTACTCTCTAGTCAGTCTTTAAAGAAAAAATCAGAGCTTTTGAATTGAAATGCTGCAGAAAAGTTCTTAGAATACTATGGACCAAGAAGGAAAAAAACCGGTGATTTAAACATGGGGACAATTGGCTCATTAACAGCATTGTCTCCCAAAAGCTGAGGTATTTTGGCCATGTTAAACATCCTGGTGGTGGAAGGTGCAGTTTCCAGAAGATGAGGCAGAGGCCAGTCCCTACAAGGCATTAAAGATGTATTTGATTTGAAAGCACATAGGGCTAGAGAATTGGCAAGAAAAAAGAGATTTTCAGTCATGCCGTGAAGAGAGCAATGTTCTGTAAAGGACCTGCTATTTGATGATGATGATGATGGTAATGATGATGATGATGAAAATGATGATGACTTGGTATAGTTACACTAACTTTATAAACTGTTTTGTTATGCAGCTGAAGAAGAGCTTAGTCATGGACAAGTAAAATTGTTGATGTACACCAGAGCAGAGTTGCGGACATCAGACCATAGGTACATACATCTGTCTGCTTGTTTCTTGTCCCTTATTCGAACTGTTTGGTGAGAAAGGGAATCAACAATTTAACTAGAGATTTCTGTCTTTTGTGTCTTTACCTTTAAAGCAATGAACGCTCCTGTCTGTCTGAACGGTGTCAAGAGCTATGCTGAGGGTTGGCTGTTTCTGAAAGGGTCTGCACTATCAGACACATCACAAGGTAGAGATCAGACTAAATGTGATTATAGACCCTTAATCAACTTGCACAAAATCGCCTTATATACAAACCTGATGCCTTGCTGGTAGATTATTCTTCTTGCTTATTTCCACTTTGTAGCACAGTTTGGAAGCCGCCACCATAGCGCAGTTGCTAAATGTTTGCCTGATGACCAGAATATCTCTAGTTCATCTGCACCGTGGCTGGGTTTTAGGGGAACCATGGCAGCATAGTGGCTAGATACTTGCTTGTTGCCCTAAAGGTCTTGAGGTCAAATCCGCATTAAGTTGCATTAAAATATTGACCTTGGCCTCCAGGTTGACCCAGCCTTATAATGGTACCTGGTAATGACATTGGCCAGTTGCTTGCCTGTTGCCACAAAAGCCTTTATATTTAATCTCTACCAAGTGGATTTGAAAAAAAAAATGCTATGGCTCCCGATTTGACCAGCCTAAAATGAGCACCAATAAATGTCCTTGGAAGTAAAGGCAGCCAGCAGTTGACCTTATCACCTAACAACCGTTAAAAGTGAGTAAAGTAACAGACCCTTTTCTATTCTTTTTAGGCGTGTTGGGTATATAGGACTAGACCTATATTTTAAAAATCAAATGGCACTTGGTGGGTGACGTGGTCAGCATCAGGCTGGCTGCCTGCCTTTACTTCCTAGGACTGCACCTGGTACCCTTTCAAGGCTAGGTCGAGCTGGGAGCCAAAGTCATTTTTGAAAAAAGCCTGAACCCACGACCTTACTGTCCGCAGGTGAGCGACTAGCCGCTAGACCACGACGGCTTCCTAACATATGCCAATTGATGTATTAAAATATGAGCCTAGCATGATATGCACGATTCGCAACTAGCGTGAAAAAGTTCCTTAACTGTGTATTTTACATCTCCCTTTTTTTCCTTTATCATGTGCATTCCAATGCAAGGATATTCTAGTTAATCAGGTTTTCTCAGAGTGTGTTTAGTTTCAACATCACCGCCTTTTTATTCACTTGAATTTGTTAATCACATACATTGCTCACTAACTACTGTACATTGTCTTTTTCTTCTATTGTCTTTCTTACTCTCCTCCTTCTCTTCCTTACCCTCCTCCTCCTTCTCTTTCTTACCCTTCTTCTCCACCTTCTCTTCCTTACCCTCCTCCTCCTCCTTCTTCTCTTTCTTACAGTCCTCCTCCTCCTCCTTCTCTTTCTTACCCTTCTTCTTCACCTTCTCTTTCTTACCCTCCTCCTCCTTCTCTTTCTTACCCACCTCCTCCTCTTTCTCTTTCTTACCCTTCTTCTTCACCTTCTCCTTGCTTACCCCTCCTTCTTCTTCACCTTCTCTTTCTTACCCTCCTCCTCCTTCTTCTCCTCTTTCTTACCCTCATCTTTCTCTTTCTTACCCTTCTTCTTCACCTTCTCTTCCTTACCATCCTCCTCCTTACCCTCCTCCTCCTTCTTCTCCTTCTCTTTCTTACCCTTCTCTTTCTCTTCCTTACCCTTCTTCTTCACCTTCTGTTTTTTACCCTCCTCCTCCTTCTTCTCCTTCTCTTTCTTGCCCTTCTCTTTCTTTTCCTTACCTTTCTTCTTCTCCTTCTCCTTCTTCTCTTCCTTAACCTCCTCCTTCTTCTTCTTCTTCTTCTTCTTTTCCTTAGCCTTCTTCTTCTCTTCCTTACCCTCCTTCTTCTTCTCTTTCTCTTCCTTACCCTCTTTCTTCTTCTTCTTAACCCTCCACCTTTTTCTTTTCTTTGTCTTTCTTACCCTCCTCCTCCTTCTTCTCCTTGTCTTCTTACCCTCCTCCTTCTTCTCCTTGTCTTCCTGTCCCTCTTCCTTCTTCTTCTCCTTGTCTTTCTTACCCTCCTCCTTCTTCTCCTTCTCTTCCTGACCCTCCTCCTCCCTTTTCTCCTTCTCTTCCTGACCCTCCTTCTTCTCCTTCTCTTCCTTTCCCTCTGCCTTCTTATCCTTATCTTTCTTACCCTCCTTCTTCCCCTTCTCTTCTCTTCTTCCTTGTCCTCATCTTCCTCATCCTCTTCTGTTTCTTGTTTGTCTTTTTTTCTGCTCCTTCTCATTCTCATCCTCCTGCGCCTCCACCATATTTGTCTCCCTCTTCTCCTCCTCCTTCTCCTCCTGCTCCTTCATTTTTTCTTCTAAATAGAACATAGACCCACAGCTGACTCAGAACACATTTGGGTATTTTAAATTTGCAGACCTGTTGTTGCGCTGTTTGATGTGGACACCTTGGTGACCATAGAAGAAAAGAGAAATGCAACTTTGAGCAAGGTCATCAGCGAGCAAGGTCCACCAGATGGCACGGTTGTCATTTCTACAGTCACAGGAGAGGAGTTGTCAGATGAGGCTGTCGAAGACATTGTCACCAAATTCAGAGAAGTTGGAGATATTGTGATTGTCAGGTAACATTTATGAGCTTATTAACTCTAAGAATTGTCTCATTAATTCAATCTATGGGAGCTCTTTACGGATGTCCGGTCAATATGGCGTATAGGCAGGTTACTTTTCTTTAAGCCGTGGTAAGTTTTTCTTTCTGACAATGGTTACCCCTTGCATTTGTCTCTTGATGTAGATGAAAAGAATATAGTTCTGCCATCATTCTACTAAGTTGAGTGCATGGCGTGACACTGTGTACTGTGTATTTCTTTTAGACATTAAAAAAATTTCTCAAGTGTGGAACTGCAAATTCAGAAAATGGCAAGTGGCCTGTTACCTGTAAATGTATGGTGCCTTATGCGATTAATTGTGTATGAGAGTATTAATCTTTTAAACTGTTGTTGAGGAGTGACTGGCCGAATGGTTACAATGTCAGGCTCTCATGCGGGAGACCCGGGTTTGACCCCTCGTAAGGTGATGGAGTTTTTATGTTGGGGGCGAAATTAAACATCCTAACATGCAAAATCCTTGGTGATAGCACTAGCAAAGCAGCCCTAAATCGTCAGGCTCACGGCCCCCTGTATACACCACCCTAAATATGTGTTTAAATGATTATGAACTGCATTTCTACTGTCGGACTGTTTGTGTTGGCACTTCCGGTGGCTGCCTTGTGCATTTAATACATGTGTATGCTATTGGCTTTGCCGAGACTACAGTCTGTGTCAGTTTTCTTTTTCACACGGGAATTCTGTGTGGTTTTTGCTGCCACAGAAACAGAGCAGCATTTGCTGCAATGCTGGAACTTTGATTACCTGATATTACCTGATATGGAAGCTCTGGTGGCACGGAGACTAGCAAATTTGCCTGCCAGTCTTGTGGTCATGGGTTCCAGTTTGCACTAAGGCCGTCAGGTCTGCGGCTTACAGGACTGTGGCTTACCACCTGCAGTGGGACCCTCCTGATTGAATATTTCCGGAAACTGGGACGGGCCTAGCAAGATGTCAATAGATAAAAAGCTTTCTCATAGAACAGTGAGAATAGAATCTGACCGTGAACTAAACCACACAATAGTTTGCAACCCGTTTTAAGGACAGTTGCAGAAGAAGGGATATGTTGGGCTGAAAGGTGCAGATATTGCAGCCTAGCTGTAAACCACAAAACAACATACCTGCTGCCCTCTTTTTTTAAGGCTGTGAGGTCTCTGTCTTACAGAGTTCTGACTTACCAGAAGCCAGCAGGGGTTAAAAGCTTGCTGAGAGAAACAGTATTCTCGCCTGCAGGTTGTAAGTTCATATCCGAATGGAACTGGGCTTTTTTCCCCCCCTCCAGAAATAACCATGTCGTCCAGGTCGACCCAGCCTCTGAATAATGGTCCCAAATTATCGAGGCCAAAAATATACCCTAACAGGGCTTCAGTCACATGTAAATTGCGGACTTCCAGCAACTCGGCGGTGGCAGTAGTCGCTGGAAGTCCGCAATTGACGTGTGACTGAGGCCCTGCTAGGGTACATTTTCGGCCTCGATAATTTGGGACCGTTATTTGGAGGATAGCCCTTAAATGAGCACCAGCTAAAGTCCTGGGAAGTAAAGATGGCCGGTTTGATGTTAATCACATGACCCACCAAGTGCCGATTGGTCTATAAAATATAGGTCTAGCCCTGTATCTCCAATATGTCTAAAGGCGTGGAAAAGAGTCCTTTACTTTACTTTACCAAGAAACAATAAGAATAGAAATCAGACCTAGAACTAGTGATAGCAATCGATAGATGGATTATCTGAGGCCAGGTATACCAGCATTTAAGTAGCACATACCAAGGCTCACACCAGATGCCTCTTCAAAACCTGACGCTGAATGACAAATAGAAAAGAGGTTGGAAAAAAAGAAGAAGAAGACCAGGATTTCCATCTTGACTTAGCCCAAAGTAGTTACCAGAAAGTGTGTGAAAGTGACTTCCATGAGCCTAGCCTATGCAGTATGTGATGGCTGGGTGAGCAAACAATTTGCTGCTCAAACCAGAAACAAACCTTTCAATTCACATCAGTGAAGGTGTTCTCACAATCTATGTAGAGCCAATTTTAACATACAGGGGTCAATCCTGGACAATTAGTTAACAAGCCAAACAATATCTTGAGGCCTCAGAGATGTGGTTTTTCAGAATAATCCTAAGAATTTCTTGGACAGCTAAGAAGAGTAACCCAGATGTTTTAAAAAAGGCAGGTGCTTAGAGACAACTTATCACAGACAGCAGAGACAGCCACTGGAAAGATTTGTGGAAAGAAATACAGAGGAAGACAACGCGAGAAGATTCTCGACAGCCTTTTGTCATGACATGGAGGGGTGTCAACACACGAACTGATACACACAGTTGCCGATCGCAGATTGTGGAGAGGTATGATCACTCATGCCAGTCTGCAAGGCACTTGATGATGATGATGAATGGTATAGATGCAGTAGTGACAACAGAAACATAAAATGTTCTTGATTAATTATTAATTATTAGAAGTTCAGTTCCCCATGCGGGTTCCTGGACCCAATTATGTGGGAACAAAGAAAAGACCCACTGGTCCTTAAGAAGCATGTCCTAGAAGGAGACTATTTAGGGATTTGCTGAAATTGGATGCGTTGGGCCAAAGTCGAAGATATAACATGCCAACTTTCATTTTAAGAGTGAATGCAGAAGAAGAAAAAGAAGATGAAGAAGATGAAGCATAAAAGAGGAAGAAGCGTAAAAAGAAGAAGAAGAAAAAGAAGAAGAAGAAGAAAAAGAAGAAGAAGAAAAAGAAGAAAAAGAAGAAGAAGCATAAGAGGAGGAAGAAGCATAAGAAGAAGAAGAAGAAGAAGAAGAAGAAGAAGAAGAAGAAGAAGAGGAAGAAGAAGAAGAAGAGAAAGATGAAGTGGAAGAAGAAGAAGAGAAAGAAGTGGAAGAAGAAGAGGAAGATGAAGTGGAAGAAGAAGAAGAGGAAGAAGAAGAAGAGGAGGAAGAAGAATAAGAAAAGGAAGAAGAAGAAGAAAAGGAAGAAGAAGAAGAAAAGGAAGAAGAATAAGAGGAAAGAGAAGAAGAAGAGGAAGAAGAAGAAGAGGAGGAAGAAGAAGAAGAAAAGGAAGAAGAAGAAGAAAAGGAAGAAGAATAAGAGGAAAGAGAAGAAGAAGAGGAAGAGGAAAAAAGAAGAAGAAGAGGAATAGTAATAATAATAATAGTAATAATAATAATGATTATCTTTAACTCATTAAATGCCATGCATTTCTTCCCCTGATGAACTGTGGCTTGGCCACTGCTAGCAAGAAAACTTAATTTCATCATCATCATGTAGCAGATCTTTTTTCAGAACGTTGCTCTCATCATGGTCTGCCTGAAAGAAACTCAGTCTCTCGCCAGCTCTCCCGCCTCATGCACTTTCATACTCAAGGAGTCACTTATATTCTGTGCCCATCTTGGTGTTGGTCGGCCCCTGCCCCTCCTTCCTGGTACCATTCCCTCTGTTACAATTTTTCCCAATCCATCGTGGCGCTTGATGTGACCAAAATATTTCAGCTTCCGAGACAGAATGCTGTTTATTAGCCAATCTTCCTTGAAGTTCAGATCTTTCAAGATGTCAGTATTTCTCCTCAATTTCAAACCCAGTTTATTGGCTGGAATTAGTTCAAAGTTTTTATTGTTTTCTCCAAAGTTTTTGTGTATTTCATTGTTAGCAGCCTCCCACCCAGTGTCTTGAAGGACAAGTGCAGTGATAATTGTTTAAAAAATAATTTGTGAAATTTTTGCTACAGATTTGTTGGCTCCGACATGTGGATTCTGTTCCAGTATGGCCAGTTTGCACTTGAAGCTTTACAGTTTGATCAGCAGCAGGTAGGCGCTTGTTTTAAAGTACATTATTGAGTATGCTATTTTTGGAAATCATGCTTTGAACATCAGATCAACAAATTCAGTTTTTTTAGGAACTGAAGGCTGTGAAATGAGGGCATCAGTACAGCATATATGGTTTTTAAAAAAAAATCGCAATAGGATCATGATAAATAATAATAATAAATTTATTTAACAGATAGATAGAATACTTTGTTGAATTGTTAAATTGTTAAAGTTCACTAAATACTTTATCAACTGGAAGAGATACAAAGATATGAAACAAATATTGAAGAGAATGATTTTGAAGAAGTACTCTACGTCATAACACGGTTAAAAAACAATAAAGCAACCGGTACTGATAAAAGTGCTGCTGAACTTATAAGGAAGGTAGTCATGGATTCACTTAAATTAACCCTTTTCATGCCCATGAATTTTTACAGACTTGGCCCACATTAATTTCCCTTTACAAAAATGGCAGAGGGGTTGGTGTACAAAAAAGACAGTAGAGAATGTATTATACTTCTAATCACTTCAAAAGTATATATTTTTTTAAGAGCAGTGAATATCCAAATTTGAGAATAACACTTTAAAGTTTGTTCAATTTCCTAACATTTTCCAAAGTTATAATAAGTTTTTGGATAAGTTCTCACAGAGTACTTTACAAAATTTCAGAGAAAAATATTTCAGAAAAATTGATGATTACACGCATGCTATTTACTAATTACTTGCCTTGCCGGCTGTCATGAGCCATCATGCCTCTCCAAAATCTGATCTCCTGCAGCATGTGTCAGTTCATGTGCTGACACGCCTCTATGCCATGCAACAAGACTGTCAAGAATCTCCTCTCGTCGTCTTTCTCTACCCTCCTACTACAGATTTTTACAGTGGTCACAACATGTTCCATTTTCCCTCTTCTTATAACATGACTGAAAAATGATGGCTGTCTCCTTCTGATGTCTGTGATAAGTTGTCTTTGGACTTGCACCTCTTTCAAAATCTCTTGGTTGCTCTTTTTGGCTGTCCAAGGTATTTCAAGCATTCTTTTGTAATCCTTGATCCCCACGATCCTTTATAACCTTTTGTTCTATAGACATCACCTTGTAACTACAGGGAAGTTGCCGTGGCGTTGGCGGCGAGACGCCCGCCTGTGGATCGGAAGGTTGTGGGCTAGCATCCTGATGGAACCGAACTTTTTTCAGAAATGACCTTGACTACCAGGTCGACCCAACCTTGAGTGGGTATGAGGTGCAGTCCTGGAAAGTAAAGGCAGCCGGCATGATGCTGACCGCATCACCCACCAGGTGCTGATTGGTCTATAAAAATATAGGTCAAGCCGTAAATTCCCAATACGCCTAAAGGCGGGGAAAAGGGACCATTACCTTGTAACTATCATATCATTCATTTATCATCAATGTTGGGTTGTGCCGTTATATGCCACACTGGGCTCACAGTCTTTTCTTCCATGATATATGGATACCATTACATGTAACCATATGGTATAAACCCTAGGGGGCTGCACTGCCTACACAGTTTCATCTTATTCTTCGAGTGACGGCTCCTGGCATATCCCCAGCTATCTATTTTCATGGCCCCACTTGCCTATCCAAACTATTGTCTTGACATCGACCTGGCTGTCACAAGATATGAAGATAAGTTATATTGTGTATTTGTGTAGTGTCTATTCTGTGTATGTGCAGAAGAAGGCTCCATAACCGCAACGTTCAGTTTTGTTTGTGTTTGTTATATTGTGAAGCTCACTGATATACTTTTTGTTCAATTTTATATTTTTCCTTGGTATGTATGTTTGTAACAGTTCGCAGGAACCACAATCAGAGTAAGACTAAAAACTACAGAGTGGAGAAATGAAATAGAAAAGGAGTTGAACCTCTGCTCCAGCTCCTCTGGGGCTCTCTACAACCAGTTTTCCAACTCCCTGCTCGGAGATGATTTCAGTGTGCCATCTATGGAGTTTGATATGGAAGAAGGTATTTTGTTGATTTGGATGTCTGTATCCTCCTCAGTAAAGTCGTTTTTATTAGAGAAAAAGGTCATTCTTATTGACACTCTCACAGACTGTTGTTCTCCGTTTATCTTATTCTTCCACTTGTATTGCTCTTGTCTTTTACTGCTTACCTGTAGCTTTTCCCTTCAGTATGGTTTTTATGAGTGTCTTATGTGTAAGGTATGTGTGCGTAAATATATGTGTGTGTGTGTGTCCATGCGCATGTGCGTGTGTGTAAGTGAGGAGTGCATGAGTGGGTTGGCTTGTGTGTTTTCCATCCATGCCTTTGTGTTTTTTCTTCTTGATATTCATCAAATGCGAATTGTTTAATGAACAAACATGCTTTATTGATAAAATACAACTTGTGAAAGATGGATGTTTGGAAGGGCCGAATGTAAGGCGGGCCTGCATGGCCAATTTATAACCCTTTGAAAATAAAGTTTGTTTATTCGTTCGTTCGTTCAGTACACTTATGAGTGTGTAGCAGACATCGGTGAAAATTCAGACGAAGCAGATGCACTAATCTATACAGACGGATCAGTTATACGCCAAAGAAGAAGCGCATGGGCATTTACAGCACGCTCAGCGGGCAGAACAGTCAAAGAAGCCAACGGCGCCTTCTCCATGACAACCAGCAGCATGACGATGGAGGTGATGGCAGTGACGCAAGCGTTTGCCTGGCTTGAAACACAAAAATACACCCGCATATGTATACTCAGTGATTCAATGAGTATGATCCGGAGGGTTCAGGCAGGTTCAGTGCGAAGACAATGGCTTGAATCAATTCAGAAGTCCACTGTGCGAGGAGTCACCTTTATTTTTGTTCCGGGACACGCAGGCGTCGATGGAAATGAAAGAGCTGACAGGTTGGCTGGATCCGCTATCACTACCGACGGTCGGGCCTATGGATCATGCTGATATTATCAATGCCCTCAGAGAAATGGGAAGGATAGAGGACTTTGGTGGCAGTAAATCCACATCACTCGCCAGAATGGCAGACTTGGGAATTAAGATCGGCACAGCAAAAAACGAGACGCACACCGGACACGTCAGAAGACTTGTTAATCAACATAGAACTGGTACTGTTAGCCATCGGACGTTGGGATTCATACTGAGGGGAGGATCTGAGCACCTATGGACATGTCCGGAGTGCAATGATGATAACCCAACTAACTAACTAACTAACTAACTAGCAGACATACTCTCAAGCATATATTGCAGGATTACCTTAACTACTCCCGGCAGAGGTTGCCTGGTACGATTTTCCCAATGGTATCCTAATAGCCCTAGAAGATACAGCATCCCATGGGAAAGGTTGTGGCCCATGAATGGAAGCCCAGGCAATCCTCCACAATGGTGAGAAGCAGGCTTTTGCAGGCACAATAGTGAGTAGTACCGGCTCCACCTATCACAGCCATGTGAATGTAGAAAGCAGGGGAGACTAGCACATTATATATATATATATTCTAAATATATATCTAAAAGCATCCTATTCTGAAAGCTGGTCTGGTAGTCTGAGTTTCAGATTCATAGCAAACGGGTCATCCCATCGTTGCTCTGCTCCTGTGCCAACAAAAAACACATAGAATGTTAATCACAGTCCCTTGTGGAAAGATTGACAGACTGCTGTCTCAGAATATCTAGCATACACTCACATTAAAGCATACGGTAGCCATTCGAAGTGCTAACACAAACAGTCCGACATTAGAAATGCAGTTCATCATGGATGGTAGCAGAATTCACCAACAGATCAGCAGTTGCACATGCGATCAATTTTAATCACATACGGGCACCACCAACATTGCGACGACAGGCATCGCACCATTTTCTGAATCTACAATTCACACCACCACATTGGTCACAGTCGATAAATCGTTCCAAATGAAATCCGCAGCTCATAGTGTCACACCATGCATTCAGCTCAGAAACTGGGCTACGAAACTATATCCAGTTATTTTTGTTCCGGGACATGCATGCGTCAATGGAAATGAAAGAGCTGACAGGTTGGCTGGATCCACTATCACTACCGACGGTCAGCCTATGGATCATGCTGATATTATTAATGCCCTCAGAGAAATGGGAAGGATAGAGGACTTTGGTGGCAGTGAATCCACATCACTCGCCAGAATGGCAGACTTGGGAATTAAGATCGGCATAGCAAAAAACGAGACGCACACCAGACACGCCAGAAGACTTGTTAATCAACATATATCTGGTTCTATTAGCCATCGGACGTTGGGGTTCATACTGAGGGGAGGATCTGAGCACCTATGGACATGTCCGGAGTGCAATGATGATAACCCAACTAACTAACTAACTAACTAACTGACTAAGTCTAAAATTGGTACAGGAAATCTCCTGAGACTCTCAGAGAAGTAAAGGTGGCTGGTATGATGCTGACCACATGTCCTGTCTTGGAGGGCGGGTGCGGAGAATACCATCAGTCAGTTTTGCTAATTGGAACATGACAGGTTCAGTGCTGAATGGATTGAAACACCAGAAAAATCGCAGGAGCACATTGAGATAAGAATCACCCTGGGTAGGTGCAATGTTCCTTGGCTGACAACGTATCTGCTTCGCCACGGTTCAGCTTTATATGATTACTGCAACATATCTACTGGCACTGCTCTAACGTCTAGAACTGATAACACAGACGCCGCTCAGCTTCCTTTTACATGCTGTCAGTTTATCCCGTTGCATTTATTCAACATGCTCCAACTGTTATTCACACTTCCATCGCTTGCGACATATTCATACACTAGTCATTCACACGATATGAGAACTACATCTATTATTAACACAACTGTCTTCTACGACTTCTGGTAAGCAACTGACCACGAGTCCAGCTCGGGCTTCCCCTCGCTTACTTGACCAGCCACAAGTATCTTGTGCTATCACTTGTAGCACGGACTTTCTGCTTGCCACAATGTACGCGTGGAGACCATGCAAAGCACCTCATCACAGTAGGTATTGCAGAGAATGAAGCCAAACATCCGCTTGTGCTGAAATAAGGGTCCTCGTCCACAAGTACATCTGACCAAGTGACGTCATCATCTATTCATATAGCACCATGATTAGTGGTGTGAGGTCTGGGTGGGCAAACAGCACAGGTGAATGGAGGAAAAACTAAAAGAAGAAAATCAGGTGTTCAGTTCGACTACTTCCAGCATGACGATGGAGAAAGCAGCTGTCACGGGGTCACTTGCGGAACAGAGAGCAAATCTCACATTTACAGTGACAGATTCAGTGAGCTTGCTTAAGAAGATCCAGACTGGAAAACTAAGACTAGATTGGGTTGACAGCATCCAGAAGTCCCACCTCAAGAAGCTGTCTTGACCTTACACACCGTGATATGCCGGGGCAAAGAGAAATGAAAGAGCCGACAGACTGGCCATGCCTGCAGTGGTTAGTAAAGAAAGAAGTACGGATAAGGCAGACATGCTGAATGTGCTGCATTCCAGACATTTTGAGACAAAGGAGTCAGAGAGGATAAACCACCTGTTGGAAATGGATATTAAAAAGGACAGGCATGCAGAAGTCAGTTGCTGGGCAAAAGGAAGAAGATCATCCCAATCCAACACACTTGTATTCCATCCTTTAATGCAACAGCCATCTCAGTGTCTCCATGTTCAACATACACTGATAGCTTTTGATTGTTATATTGATATGAAGACCATCTGGCACCACTTGGTTAAAAATGATTGTTCAGTTAAGTAAAACAGAAAAAACAAAAAAAAAAAGGCAGAAGAAGACACCTGGTCATATTATCAGTTTGTAAAAATACTCTGGTCGGCTCTGTGGCTAAGTTGATGCAAACGCTTCATAATCCCTTGGTACAGGGTTCGATCCCAGCTGTGGGCCATGCACCTTGTGTTGGTTTCGACAGTGGTATCAGGGGGCCGAACGTCCAGAAGCAATGGCAAACTACTGGACGTAAATTTGCCTAGAAAAACCACACAACAGCCAGGTGCTGCTGGGGTTGGTTCAACTAACCTAAAATTACTCTTACAGATGAGGGTGATGAAACAGCAGATGTGGAGGTTGAGAATACTCTTCAAGCAAACTCAGCAGCTTCGGGGACCAATACTCATTCAGGTATAATAAACCAGTCACCACCTTCATCAGCCATCAGTTCTCAGCCCTACCAATGTTCAGCATAAGTTCATCTCATTTTTGTAATTAGCGTTTATTAAGTTCAATGTAGTTTCTGGTGTTTTTTTCCCCTGTTCAGTTCTCAGATGCAGGAGCCACCCCAAGTTACCTGTACTGACTGTTCCCATGAGAAGTTGGTTACAGTGTCTCCTATCTTGACTTGGACAGTGGCACAGGCATCTCTAGCAAATACATCAGTTCATATGCTGACATCCCTCCATGCCATGACGTGTTATGTTATCACCATCAAAATTACCACACATTGCACATTACCGTGCATGCTCATCCTTCAGTGCTGCAGCCATTGCACGTTACCTCTATTGACTGTTCTAATACAAAATTGGTGATTAGTGATTAGAAAGAATAATCATCACAGCACTCCGGACAGATCCAAGATGCTCCGATCTCCTCCTTAAAAGCTCCACAAGTGTAAAACGACTGATGACGCCTGTTCTGTGTTGGTTAATGAAACGTCTTGTCCCCTTAATGAAATGTTCATTTCTTGCCGCTCCAGGCAGCACCCCTATGTTCATCAGTCTAGACAGGGATATAAAGTTATGGCCTTTGGCATGCTGCTCGGTACGGTTAGTGTAGCGCATGACATTGATAACATCACTTCACCAAAGTAAATATGCAAAGTTGGTTATGTCTTCTACAAGTATCTTTACCTTAATGATAGTCTTGCTTCACTAGTCTTAAATCCCAATGTCACACAGCCCGACTGGCATAACAGCCTTGATATTATCCACCAGTCTAGTCTTCTGTAGAGCAGCAATTCACAACCTTTGTAGAGTTGCCACCTTATTTTAAAAATTCGAAGTGACCTACGACCCATACATTTTAAATAAACTTTTTAATAGGGTAACAGAAAACACGTAGAAAGTACTAAAATATATTTTTTTGGGGTACAGGATGCCATGACATTGTTTTAAAATTAAAAAAAAAAAACTGTTAAAGAATGTAGCTTATCACTATCTGGCAACTCTGCAGAAAACCCTTTGTAACCCAAAAGGGGTCGCAGCACATAGGTTGGAAACACATTCTGTACAGCTACATGAATTAATGGAACACTTACCAGTTTGTCCACCCTCTCATTTTTTTTTTTTTTTACATTTGCATACCATAACTATTAACAGTCTTATCTCATTGTCCTCCTCAGTCTTTCCATAAATCGTATCTGATAATGTGTGCATGAACAATCTTTCTTTTTCCCCAAAAGGGCACAGCAGTCCTGCCTTACAGGGAGAAATTCCTGGTGGCCCTCCAACAAATCCACCTCGTCCTGTTGCACCACCAGCCCACTCCACAGGTACGCAGCCCAGAGCTCCATCTCCAGGAATGGGTTGGGATGGCCAAGTGGTGAGGGATGTCACGCCTCAGTTCAGAGCTTCTCCTGTGCCAGAGGTTAGTTTGTTTGGCAGGAAGTCCTGCATTCTGTGTGTGTGTGTGTGTGTGTGTTTGTATATGTATGTTTGTATTCCTGTGAGTGTTTGAGTCTCTCTGTCTGTCTGTCTATTGTTTTTCACTTTCTCTCTTTCTGTCTATTGTTTTCTCTCTCTGTGTCTCTCTTGTTCTCGCTCATTTTCTGTCTCTCATTCTCTCTCTGTCTTTCTCTCTCTCTCTCTCTCTCTCTCTCTCTCTCTCTCTCTCTCTCTCTGTCTGTCTCTCTCATTTTCTGTGTATCTGTCTCTGTCTCTCTTTCTCTCTCTCTGTGTCTGTCTCTTGTTCTCTCTCTTTTATTCTGCCTCTCTCTAACTCTGTCTGTTTCTTTTTCTCTCTCGTTTTCTCTGTCTTTCTCTCTCTCTTGTTTTCTCTCTGTCTGTCACTCTTGTTCTCTCTCCATCTCTCTCTCATTCTCTCTCTGCCTGCCTCTCTCCTTTTCTCTCTCTCTGTCTTGCTGTATGCATATTTTATGCATGGGCCTAATCGTTTAAGTAGGCATGTAGTTTTAAAAAAAAAATCCTTCCAGGATCTTTTTGATTAACACTTTGAGGATGAGAATCTAGAGAGTCAGCATCTGTGGCTTAGGCATTGCGCACGTGCTTCAGAAGACTGATTCTTATTTATTTCAGAGTTGCCATTAAACCAAATCACTGTTTTAAAACTTATCTTCAATGATTACCATCTGTTTGCTTTGGTTGCAAAGGATTGTTTTAAAATGTAATCTTCAATTATTTTGGGAGGGAACAAAAAAGACCCACAGCCTCCCTAACAAGCATGTGATAAAAGGTGGTTAATGAGGGAAGTTTCCTTCTAAGGTAGAGTGCATCTGCCTGAGAAGTGAGAAACCAACAGTCTGCATAGAAGTAAGCCAGATCAGTAAAATGGATGTGCATGCAATACTTATGCTCTAGAAGAAGACCAAAGTCCAAATGACCAAAGTCCAGAAGACCAAAGTCCAGAAGACCAAAAGTCCAGAAGACCAAAGTCCAGAAGACCAAAGTCCAAATGACCAAAGTCTAGAAGACCAAAGTCCAGAAGTGGATGAATAACCAGAACTTTCTACTTGAGTTTACAGCCAGTGAATGCTAAGAAAATAAGAAGAAAAATGCTTTACTGAAATATACTACAGTTGACGTCTGAAGAAGAAGATGCTGACATGCATTTACTACAGGTCACTTCGGACTTTGTGGCAGCATGGTTACTACTGTAAGTCACTTTAGACTGTCAACCAAAGCAAATCTCAAAAGAACATTTTTTGGGGCCGACATTGTGCTACCTGTGCCAAACATGGACCCTTACTACAACTAATGAGAAGTAGATTGTAACATAAGAGATGTGTCTTAGAAGAGCTGCCGGTGTGACAAGAAGAGAGAAAATCAGGAATGAAGAAATTAGAAGACTAGGACTAAAACCAGTCATACAATTCATTAAAGAACAACAAATGAGATTGTTTGACCACCTGACGAGAATGCCCTGGTAACAAGAGAGCCACAAAGAGCCACACTGAAGAAATATAATAAACACACAGCTAGGGGAAGACCACACAAGAGATGGAGCGACATTATCAGGAGCAACCTAACAGAAATTAGCACCAACTTGTACAATGCATTGGAAAAAGCACACAGATGATCCTTTCATCTTTCCAACATCTCGCTGAGATAAATAGTGGACAAGAAGAAGAAGGAAAAGTTTAGATTTGAGGCTAGCATGATTAATGAATTTGCTGTAGGGACTTTAAAAGAAAGATTATTTTATGCAATCTTTCTTTGTCAATTGAGATAAGAAAGAGAATTCTTAAAAGCTATGTATAGCCTATCTTGATATATGGAAGTGAATCATGGACAGTTGGTAGATAAGTGACAATTTTTTGGGAAGCTGTGGTTTTATAGACAATTGATGATAATACTTTGGACAGATGAAAAGAGTAATAAGGTTGCCATTAAAGAAACTGACTCACGAAGAGAACTGGTTGTCCACATCAGAAAGAGACAATCTACATTCTTTGGTGAGAGGGAGAAAACCGGAGTACATCGTGACAGTAGGAAAGTTGGAGAGGAGAATAGGCAGAGGGAGGCAGAGGGAGACCGAGAGAACAGATGCTGGACAGTTTGACATCATGGCATGGTGGATCATCTGTGTCCGAGTTGACTGAAAGTACACAGGAAAAAAGTTTGTGGATAGACATGACTACCAACGCCACACAGCTTGGACTTGAAGAGGAAGAAGAAGAAGAAGACTTTGAATTTACTGCCGGTCATTTCAGGCATTATGCCTTCTTGACTTTTTAATATAATAATAAAGCCAGTCCTACAAGTCTTCAAGGAACAACAAATGAAGTGGTTTGGACACCTAACAAGAATGCCCCGGTACTATCTGCCACAGCGAGCCACACTAAAACCTCACAACGGGTATAGAGCAAGGGGAAGACCTCTGAAAATATGGAGTGATGGCATGACGAACAGCTTTACAAAAATGAACATCAGTCCTAATAGTGCTCTTGACAGATCTTATCAACGAACGTTACACCCCCTCTCCTCCCCCCCCCCCCCCCCAATCCCCGACACTTCGCTGAGGTACAAGGTGGAAGAGGGGGAGAAGAAGAAGAAGAAGAAAGACTTTAATTAACCATATATCACGTAAGACTTGTTTTGCAAAACTGTGTTGTTATTTCAGAACAAACAACCCCCTGCCAGGCCTAGTGCTCCCCCTGTGAAGCCTCCTCCACCACAGAGACCACCTGGGGGCCCGCCTAAACCATCTCCAACCCACAGCGCCAGTGGACTTTCCCAGCCATCTGCTTCAGGTGAGAGTATGTGACCAGACTGATGACTTCACAAGGAAGAAAATTTGAGTGAAACAATCCATCCGCTATCTCATTAACCCTTTTGACCCCTCCAAGATAGGCAATTTTGGTACTAGTGGCTTTTTTATGTACATTCTTTAGGGAAGTAAAAATTGTACATTACATGTTTATGTTACAGCATATGTTACATTACATATAAGATTACAGCATAGGATGCATGTTACATTGCAGTATTTTACATGTTACATTACAGCAAATGTTACATTACACATCACATCACAGTGTATGTTACATAACACTGTGTTACATTACATGCTACTTCATGTCATGTTAAATTACATCATGTGTTGCATTACATGTTACATTACAGCATATTTTGTAACTATGTTACATTACATGTTACTTTAAGTATAGGTTACATTACAGGATATGTTACAACACTGCATATTGCGCATTAAGTGTTTGTTATATTACTTCAATTGTTTTATTACATGTTCCATTACGGCAAGGATATTTAACTAAGTTTACTCAGGGGCCAACACTCTGAAAACGGGGATTGTCACGGGATTGTTATATTAAGCCTACCAACTTGAAGTCTAGGGTTCAATTCAGATCTGCATCAAGGCAAATTTTTTTTTTTTTGTGTGTCTTCAAAACTGACTTTGGTTTCCGGGTCAAGCGTAAAATAGGTATCAGGTAAGGTTTTGGGAAGTAAAGGCGACCACATCACCCATCAAAGGCCGGTTGGTTTATAAAATTATGAGTCTAGTAGAGTCTATGATAATGATGATTATGAAGAAGCTGTATTTCATTGGGGCCGCATTAGCGCAGTAGATAGGAGACTCGCTTTCAAATCCAGCTGCGACTCGCTGCAGCCTACGGCCAGTGTTCGAAACCGGACAGTTCCTGTGGTTCACCCAGCCTCTAGTAAATGGGTACCAGAGTTAACACTCTGGGGTAAATGGATGGAATGTCACATTAGCTTAAGGAGTTTAATGCGGCCGGCGACACAGGCGGACAATTTCTTATCAGCTGTCCGTACTGGTGGCAGAGCACTTATGATCTATACCCTTGTGCAATGACGGTGGTTCACATCTCCCGACTTTTTACCTTGTGTTTTATTTAGACATCTGCTGCTAAATCTTCAATGACCGAAAAATGATTTACAGTGAAACTAACATTTTAATATGCAGGTGCCCCAAACAAGCCGGTACCTCCCAGGATCAGACAGCCTTTGAGGCCTGCACCTTCTGACAAGTCGAAGGCAAAGAAGTCTCAAAAGGTGATTTGTTTATTTTAGAGTTAGGGATTTGTTTTTTTAGTGTTGAGGATTTGTTTTTTTTAGAGTTAGGGATTTGTTTTTTTAGTGTTGAGGATTTGTTTATATTAGAGTTAGTGATTTGTTTTTTTAGGGTTGAGGATTTGTTTATTTTAGAGTTAGGGTAAGGATTAGGGTTAGAGTTTTTGTCTCTGAAGCTCACAGAAAAAAAAAAATCAGTGATAAGCTTTGAACTGTTATGTTGCCTACATGTTGAATGATGCAGGGAAGTGAAAGGTATATAAAAGATTAAAGGCATATGGAAGGTGAAAGGTATATAAAAGATTAAAGGCACATGAAAGGTGAAAGGTATATAGAAGATTAGAGGCACATGAAAGGTGAAAGGTATATAAAAGATTAGAGGCACATGAAAGGTGAAAGGTAGATACAAGATATGAAAGGTATATAAAAGATTAAAAGCGCATGAAAGGTGAAAGATGTAAAAGATTAAAGGCACATGAAAAATGAAAGGTATATAAAAGATTAAAGGCACACGAGAGGTAAAAGGTATAAAAGATTAAAGGTACATGATAGGTGAAAGGTAAGTTTTAAAAAAAAGTAAAGGACCCTTTTCCATGCCTTTAGGCATATAGGGCTAGACCTATATTTTAATAGACCAATCAGCACAAGATAGGTGATGTGGTCAGCATCACGCTGGCCGCCTTTACTTCTTCCTGGGACTACAAGGCTCAAGGTTGGGTCGACCTGGGAGAGGGGAAAAGTATAAAGGAGTAAAGGCACACAGAAGGTAAAAGGTGAGTGAAAGGAGAAAGGTACCCAGAATGTTAAAGGCTTATGAAAGGTGAAAAGAAGTTGAGTGGTAAGTAAAAGGTAAGTGGAGTGTTAAAGTCTTATGGAAGGTGAAACATAGTTGAAAGGTTAGTAGAAGATGAAAGGTACATGGTAGGTAAAAGGTAAGCAGTTGAAATGTTAAGGTAAGGGGAAAAGTGAAAGGTAAGCACATGAACTGTTTAAGGCACATGAAAGGTAAAAGGCAAATGGAAGGTGAATGGTAAGCAAAAGATGAAAGGTAAGAAAGAGGAAGTTGAAAGACACCTGCAGTGTTAGAGGCAGAATGGTAAATGAAAGTTGAATGGTGAGTAAAAAGTGACAGGCACATGGTGGGGAAAGACACATGAAAGTAAAAAGCAAGTAAATGCTGAAAGGTGAAAAGAACTTGAAAGGCAGAGTGTCCAAAAGAGTGACTGAGTAAATAACTGTGAATGAGTGGGTGATTGAGAAAAATTATACTGTTATGTGTAAGATGAAAAGTATTGTGTGAAAGTTGAAAAAGTCTGTAAACTATATCAGTATTCTATATTACGTTGACAGCTATTTGTGAAATACAAATAACACAGTATTATAATAACACAGAACAACTACTTTCAGATTGGCCAGATTGGCCTACCAACTAATGTTACCCATCACGGTCATGCATCAAGCATAGAGGAAGCTCAGGTTCTCATTCAGAAACTGCTAAGCACCGAAAGTGAGCAGAAATCGACAGGGATACCGCTTCCTACTCCGTTAATTCCCTCAAAGTCAGAGACCAACTTGAGTGCTGGTAAGATTTTATTGTTGATGAAGCTTTATGTCATGAAGTCATGAATTATTCAGTCCCATATATATAAAATAACAAAATATTGGAACAGCTATTTCCTCTTTTACAGTATAAGACAATGCAGATCAGCAAAAAGAAACATCTCCTACAAAGCATATTCATTCTCACCCTATGATACCAGTGATAGGCATGGTCACTTGCAACAAACTAGAAAATCAAATGAGTAACCATGGAAATGAGAAGGGCTGCAGGAATGACTAGAAGAGATACAAATCTGGAAAAGAGAATTCTATAATACAAAGCCAGCAAATCAAAGGGTTTTCTTACTTAGAGAGAATTGTGAATCCATACCATAAATGTTATACACAAAAACAAACAGACAAAGTTGCAGAACACATGTGGATCAAGAAGAAGATTGAAAGATTGCATCAGAGAAACTCTACAGTGGCATGATGTGTCTATGCTTGAAGTGACCAGAAGAGCAACAAGCAGAATCTTGTTATCTCCCTTGACATCCGAAGTGGTAAAAGAGGAAGTGGAGAAGAAGAAAAAGACAAAGGCAAAGAAAAAGAAAGAGGAAGAAGAAGAAGAATAAAGTATATAAATAATGTCTGGTAAAGCTGTGTTCATATCAACCATGTATAGCGAGATCATTTATGGTGTAGTATAGTTTGAGGTTTTGAACAACGGGAAAAACATCATGGAACACAGGTAGTAACCCATAAGTGCTCCATTCTTCTTCTAATTCAAGTCCGTGCCTGAAGAAGCTCAGCACAGTGCACAGGCTCTGTAGTACCGGCTAGGATCCTGAAATACTTTGGGTAGATTTTTTAACTTCAAATTTTGCCTGGGCAGTGCCCTTAGGCTACATACAGTGTAGTATACAAAAATGGTGACATCTGATTTTTAAAAATTTATGGAACATGCGCTACAACTTCGAAGGAAGAGTCGATCCTATCTTTTTTTGGGGGCCAGCCTCCTGTTTGCAAACCCGTTTTTAGAGTGACTGGTCTTGACTATTATGAATCTCCGTCTTGGCGTTTATGTGTGGCTCAGCACGTCTGCATCCCCGTTTCATACCCTTTCTGCTACCCATTTTCATAAGGCTGTTTGACAGCAAAGATGTACTGCCCCGGGAAAATCCTGTCACTTCTTGTCTTGAACCCAGATCATTTTTTTGGCAGGCTAGCTTACTAACCAAGTATATCAAGTATCATCATCTTCGTGTGGATTCCAGGGCTTCATTGTAGTGAAAACAAGTATAGACCCACTGCCTACCCTAAAGCATGTCGTAAGAGTTGACTAATTGGGAGCTACCTTTAAAGGTTAAGTGCATCTGCCTGAGAGGCAAGGAACTAACAGTCTCCGTACAAATGAGCCAGAACTGTAAAAGGAATGTGCAGGACAGGACTAGAGTCCAGAAGTGGACAAACAGCCAGAACTTTCCCACTGGAGTTCATAGCCAGCGAGTGCGATAAAGAATAAGAAGAGAAAAGCATAATCTTCATCATCATCATCAATCAGTAGGCCCCCTACAGAAAGTTGCTCCCAACGTGCCTGAAAGTCTCTCTTTCTCTGGCCAGTTCTCCAGCCCTGTGTGCTTTCATAGCCACTGCATCTTTAGTCTTGTATCCACCTGTGTGGAGGTCTGCCTCTGCCTCGTTCTCCAGAAACTATACCTTCCATTACCATTCTCTCCAGCCCACATTGACATTTAACATGGCTAGAACATCTCAGTTGTCAGGATAGAATGAGCCAATTCTTCATGATGATCAAATGGTGTAGGATGTCCATGTGTTGTTTTCTTCTTGATGCTCAGATAGTGTAGGATGTTGATGTTGTTTTTCTTCTTGACGCTCAGATGGTGTAGGATGTTGAAGTTGTTTTTTCTTGATGCTCAGATGGTGTAGGATGTTGATGGTTGATGTTGTTTTTCTTTTTGACGCTCAGATGGTGTAGGATGTTGATGTTGTTTTTCTTCTTGATGCCCAGATGTTGTAGTATGTTGATATTGTTTTTCTTCTTGATGCTCAGATGGTGGAGGATGATGATGTTTTTTTTTCTTGATGCCCAGATGGTGTAGGATGTTGATGTTTTTCTTCTTGATGCTCAGATGGTGTAGGATGTTGATGTTGTTTTTCTTCTTGATGCCCAGATGTTGTAGTATGTTGATATTGTTTTTCTTCTTGATGCTCAGATGGTGGAGGATGATGATGTTTTTTTTTTCTTGATGCCCAGATGGTGTAGGATGTTGATGTTGTTTTTCTTCTTGATGCTCTTTTTTTTTTTTTTCTCAACGTATCCAGAAGCCATGAGTTGTAAACCCTTTGGCTCGGTACTATGGATATCGCAACCCTTCGGCATTGATTCCATTATAGGTACCGTTGATCTGGGAGAAATGTGGCTTTTCTGCCTACCCCCGGGAATGAACCCGGACCACAAGGAGTTCGTCACCCGGCCGCCGCGAAAGTCACGTTTAACCAACTTCGCTAGAGAGCTTCTTGATGCTCAGATGGTGGATTATGTTGATGTTGTTTTTCTTCTTGATGCTCAGATGGTGTAGGATGTTGATGTTATTTTTCTTCTTGATGCTCAGATGGTGTAGGATGTTGATGTTATTTTTCTTCTTGATGCTCAGATGGTGTAGGATGTTGATGTTGTTTCTCATCTTGATGCTCAGATGGTGTAGGATGTTGATGTTATTTTTCTTCTTGATGCTCAGATGGTGTAGGATGTTGACGTTGTTTTTCTTCTTGACTTTGAGCATATTAGGGTTAAAATGTTGAAATAAAGCGGCTGTACAGATGTATTGCATGCTTGGCTGTGATTTGGGAGACTCACGCTTTAATCTTCGGTAAGAGGATGGACAGTTTTTCTGTCACCAGCCAGACGAGCCTAAATCTGCAGGCGGAAGTAGTAAATTCAGGCAACAATGGCAATATTGGCAGTACAAGTAAAATACACATTTTTTTCCTTTTGGCCCATATAGTAATAGACCAATATATTTGTTGACAAATAGCACATCAATGGTAATCATTGTGCTGGCCACCTTGATTTCCCAAAAGGTTACCTGGCACCCATTTTAGGTTGGGTTGACCTGAAAACCAAGGTCAGTTTAAAAAAAAAAAAATCTGCCTTGATGTAGATTTGAACCCTAGACCTTTGGGCTGGCAGGCATGAGTCTAGCTGCTACACAAGTGTAGCTCCTGATGGTAATGTTTATGTTCTGAATTAACAGCAGATGAAACATTATCTTTATAAATTGTTTCAGTGGCCGGTGGTCTTCTAGCACCAAAGGTTTTGCCCAGAAGTCACACAGCTCAAGAAATTGGAGATAATGCTCACTCGCTGCAGCCACAACCAGTTCCAAGACAGCGTAGCGTGGACAACATACATTCAGGTCATACAGGAACTGTGCCATCAGACAACATAAGTGATACAACCTCATCTTCCAGACCACGACCTACACCACGCGTGCAGAGCAGTATTATCGATGGCGATAGTCTTTCAGATTCTGTCCATTCACGTAACCCTCCTTCTCCATCACACCGACCAGGAAGTGTACAGATGAGTGCCACAGCAGCAAATGGACAGACTGTGCCATTTCGAACAGCACCTCCACTTCCAGAAACTAAACCTGCCCCTCCACCAACTGAGCTGAAGCATCCCACAGCCATTCCAGCATCCGCTGCTGCTCCTACTCCACCTGCACGCCCATCTAGACCCTCAGAAAAAGTTGTATCCAAACCCTCAGAACCAGTTGATTCATTTTCCACATCTTCTAGTGGCCAGTTAGGCTCTCATTTGTTAGACAGAGAAAATAGCATAACTGGGAAAGCACATGAAGATTCAGATCCTTTTAACACGGAGTTTGCCAGATTTCCTCCCACTGCATTCCGTCCACAGCCTAGCTTACCTGATCCCTTTGATACCAGGCACATTTCCAACAGAACAGAAGTAGCTGTGGCTTCAGACCAGGCCAATAAGAAATCCATTCCTGATCCATTTAACACAGATCATGTAGCCCAGAACTCCCAAGCTTTTGATGATCCTTTCCTCACTACCAGTCATCCTTTCAACCACCCGTCTTCTGATGCTCAGAATACAAGCTCTTCTGTGGATAGTTTAACCCTTTCTGAACAAAGCTTGTCTCTTCCTAGTGCAACCAGCAATGACTTTGACCAGTCTGAATCTTTTGGAGAATCTGCATTTCAGGCCCCGGATATGAGCCCGCCACCCTTACCTTCAGACATAGGTGCTCCCAGATTTACACCCACACCTGTAGGTTTATCATGCCCACTTGAAGATCCTCCTCCAGCCCCAGCAGGTTGTCCACCAGCTCTGCCTGCTCCCAACAGACCAGGTGGGGTGCCGCCACCTGTGCCGAGACGGCCAGTTTAACCGACTGCCATCTTTGATATTGTTTGTTCTAGAATGATATGAAGTTGTGGTTTAGAATATCTTTATTGTCATCTTATTCTTTTTTTTTTGCTGATTGGTTATATAGAAATATGGATTTAGCACCATATGTACCACACATCAGTAGTATGAAAAGATCCTTTTCTCTTATTGGCTTTTCAAGTTACCATATTTTTTTTCGGTGCATATGACTATATGTTTTCCCTCATTTTGTTAAAGTTTCAAATTGGGGGTTGTCTTATGTACAAAAAAGTGTTTAAAATATTTCCTTCTTAATTGTAAAGTGAAAATTTTGGTATAGGACCCGTTTTTATTGGGCATATAGGGCTACACTTATTAGTGTAGCACTCCATGGGTGATGTGTTCACCATCACGCTGGTCGCCTTTATTTTCCAGGACTGTACCTGGTACCCATTCGAGACTGGGTTGACCTGGGAACCAAGGTCATTTTTTAAGAAAAAAAAAAGTCTTGCTCTGTCAAGACCTGAACCTACGACCTTCTGATCCGCAGGAGAGAATATAGCCGCTCCACCACGGTGGCTTCCATTTCCTAATTGTGGGCTAAAAAAAAATAGAGGTGGACTTATACATGTGGGGGAGCCACTGTAGTTTAGTAGCTAGGCACTCACTTACAGATCTGAAATTGGGTTTGAATCCAAATGGTGCTAAATCTTTTTATTTTTTTTACAGAAATGACCTTGGCTTCCAGGTCGGCCCAGCTTGTATGGGTACCAGGTCAAGTCCTGGGAAGTAAAGGTGGCCGGCATGATGTTGACCACATCACCCACCAAGTGCCGATTTACTGTAAAAATGTGGGTCTAGCTCTTTATGCTTAATCTACCTTAAGGAATGAAAAAGGGCCCTTTACTTATGCATGTAGGCTTCTTTTAACGGAAACATATGGTGTTTAAGAAGTGTCTGTGCTAATTAATCATCATTCCCTTATTCTGACAAAACTTCAGGGTGCACGACTTGGTGTATCTTCTTTTGGTACCCCACTTTATAAATTCCTTAGAGGTTGAATGGACTGTCCGAGTTTTGCCCTGTTGAATTGTCATCCAGGGTGTGACTCTTGAAGACACAGCTGTGGTAGAATCATGAGGTAGCAACACAGAGAGGGAAAACAGACAAGATATAATAAATTTGCGCAATTAAAGTAGGCCAATTTTTTTTTTTAATGTTATGTTTTCTTTACTAGTTTTATGATTTAATTGTCCAGGGAGCTTTCCGTTGATATGTAGTGTACCTTAGACCAGCGGTTCTCAACCTTCTTAATACCATGACCCTTTATTACAGTTCCTCATATTGCGGTGTAGCCCCAGTCATAAAATTATTTTCAATGCTACTTCATAACTGAAGTAAATGGGGAAGCATTTTAGTCAAATTTCTCTGGAATTCCTTGAATTAGCTTGACTGCAGTCACCAAAATAAGGGTCATGACCTGCAGGTTGAGAATCGCTGCCTTAAACACTTGATGTTATTGTAATTTAAAAAAAAATGTTATTAATGCATTACTGATTGTTATCGTATTTCAATTATTGATGTTTACTGCATAATATTAGTACTTTCTTAAATTGTGTGTCTGCCGTTATTTAGTAATCTACTCAAAGGTTACATTGGCTTTCATGAATGAATAAATGAATCCAGCAATGGTGTCATTGCACTCAGAGCATTCCAGCATGTACTCAGTCTTTTTCCTTAGAAGCCGGTGAAGAGTTCCAATAATGATGGTACCGTTTGTAACCTGATGTTTGCTTGCAAGGTAAGGTGAGTAGTTACACAGATGACACCGGTTACCACCATTAGTATGGGGACCCATCGCAGGCTGTTGAGGAGTGAAACGGGGCTTATATGGGCTGGCCCTAAATGTTGTGATGCAGAATCTTGATGCAAATGAATCCAGATACAGTCGAGTCCACTTAACTTGAACTCGGATAAGCTGAATTTCGGCTAAGTCGACATGACCAGCTTAGTCCCGGCAATTTTCTCTATTGTGTGTGTTGTCTGGATATGTAGAAATCCTGATAAGTGGAAGGATTTTCTTAGGTCCCTGCGACTTCTACTTATCCAGACTCGACTGTATAGCATCACCAAATGGTCATTGACTTTCTTTACCTTGTTTTTTTTTCTTCTTTTCTAAATGTGTTTTTATGAAAGCAGTATTCTTTGTGTTTGATAAAGACTTCTTATATCTAAAGCATTGAGCATATTTTGACTCTCTTAGTTGCATCTGATTTTTCTTCAGTGTTTTTTTTTTCATATGTGATATTTGTTCATTTTTGTCTTTATACATTCTTTGTTTTATGGGTAGTGTTACACTAGCCCAGGGATTACAAGCTGTCTCTGTGAAGTGTAATTAGAACTAGCACCTCTCTTAGAATTTTCATTGATGTTAGCAGTTGTCAGTGATTTTGTCCTAATCTGTCAGTGATGTTGCTAGAATCTGTCAGTGATATTGCTAAAAAAATTTTTGTGATGTTCTCCTAATCTATCAGTGATTTTTGTTGTAAAATGTCAGTGATGTTGCTATAATCTGTCATTATTATTGCTAAAATTTGTGATGTTGTCCTAATCTGTCAGTGACGTTGCTACAATCTTCATTGATATTGAAACAAATTTGTTTGTGATGTTGTCTTAATCTGTCGGTGATTTTTGTCCTAATCTGTCAGTGATAATGCTGGAAATTGTTAAAATCTGTCAGTGATTTTGTCATAATCTGTCGGCAGTGTTTCTAGAACCAATAGATAAAAAATAATCTGTCTTAGTATTTTCTTGTATATTAAAATTCCTAAGCGTGTGCACTCAAATGGTGCACGGAAAAAAAAATGCAGCAAGCCTTGTTGATGCCAACTTCCTTCGGAAGAAAACATGTTCTTCACGTTCACCAGCTGTAAACTCTGGTGGAAAGTTCTGGTTGTTCATCCACTTCTGGACTGCAGTCCTGCTCCAGAACCCGATTGTTGTGTGTGCATCAGTTTTACAGATCTGATTCACTTGAATGCAGACTGTTGGTACTTTGCCTCTCTGGCAGATGCACTCCGACCTCAAAGGAAGCTCCCAATTAGTCGACTTTTAGGACATGCTTTTGGGTAGGCAGTGGGTCTGTTCTTGTTTTCCCCACAATGGAACCCTGAAACCCACACAGGAAGGAAGAAAACTTTACACAAATATAATTATGTTATCAGCATTAACATATTTTTGTTACTGTTAGTCCCCACTTAGCACAGATTTTTGCTTTATTGGAATTTGTCTTAACCAGGCTTTACTATATGATTACTCCTTTACTTGCATCAGTTAATCTTTTATTATTGAGAATTTTCATGCTTTGTACCATCCAACAGCTTCAGTGAACAAAGTTTTAATATCTGATTGTTACTATAGCTTGTGTCTATGTGGTCCCCATCTGTGATCACATCTGCTGAAGACTGCAACAGGCCAAGACACAATTCTAGGGCTTTTTTATTCTGTGACAATTTGCGGCAGCCTGGTATGAGCTATTTGTTACGAGTTACGAACAGACATAACAGCGCTGGGGACATTCACTGGGGACATTCCCATAAAAAATGTGGTACATTTAATATATTGTGGAAGTTCAGAAGCTGAATTAATATATGTGGAACAAAAGTAATCTATTTAACAACTCTGAGAAGCTGATGATGTTAGTTTAACATATGTGTAGCACTGAAAACATGAAACTAATATCTGTGTAAAACTTAAGTCATTAATTTAACATCTCTATGAAGCCCAGTGCATTAATTTAACATATGTGTGGAACTGAAAACATTAATGTCTATGTGGAAGTGATGTTTGTATCTTGTTCATGCTGAATACTGCTATTATTAGTGCTAAAATTACAAACCATTGTTTGAAATGTGTGAAAGTAGCCAAAGCTGAGAGGGTTGGCTTCATTAGACTGGGTTTTGCCTGTCTCAGTCCTCTTTCAGAGTGGCTAGTCACCTGCTAGGAGCCTTGCAGTAATCACTCACTCTGTAGCTCTAGTAAAAACCCCCTATATCTTAAAAACAATTTGCAGAAACCTAGTGAGAATAAATCTGACGTTGCCTGTAGCGAGAGCATAAGGCATACCAATGGAAGCACCCTGAAGCAGAGGAGTCGCTAATAGCTTAAGACTTCAAAACATCACAAAAGAATAATGGTAGGCACAGTACTGGTAAATGATGTCACAGAACATCAAAGAATTAAATGGTTTGGTCATCTGGTCACAATGGAACAAAATCATCCAGTCGTTCTCTTCCTTGCATATGTCCTTCCTTACCGAGTCCACTCCAAATTCCTCATTCACACATTTCTGACACATATTATTTCATCTTATCTGGTGTCTTCTGTCAAAATTCATTTATATATGTTCTTCAGAATATCTCTAGCAGTTTTTGAAAGTATTATCTCTATATTTACCACTTTAAGCCATGGCCACTTAGAACAAAACATTTTCACATTTATTTCACTTAGAACAAAATTTTAAACATTTTGTTTAAAACCTCACAGTTTTCTTTGTCATTGAGTTAAATTGGCAAGGGGAAACTGTCTTATCTTATCCTTCTTAATGTTCACCCGTTGTAAACTCTGGCAAAAACATGGTTTTTTGTCACTTTCTGGACATCAGTCTTGTTCCATAACTTGAATTTTGTGTGCACATCTGTGTTAAAGATTTGGCTTATTTGTATGCAGACTGTTGGTTCCTCGCCTCTCAGGCAGATGCACTCCAAAACTCCTCATTTAGTTGCCTTGTACGACATGCTTGTTTGGAAGGCAGTAGGACTATTCTTTTTTCCTCCAGAATGGGACCCGGAATACACATGGCAAACAATCTTATCAGTCTCCAAAGAATATGTTTATGAGTCTTCGCAAAGATATTGGTGTGTTGAATTGGAGTGTTCAGAACACCTTATTTTAGTCTTCAAACTATGTAATCAAACTTGAGACATCTGATTTTAATGCGTCTGCAGCAGCCTCTTTCTCTT